TCTAACCAGCAAGTCGGTTCGCCTGAAATTTGTAAGACCTTTGTTACGGGGAAGCAAGTTGCTGTTTCTACAGAAAATAACAACGTTAAAGTGCAGGAAGGTGGATGGTGGGTCTGGTTTTCACCGCCTCCATTTTACTATGTGCTGTTAATGCTACAACCGTCCTCTTATTACCCCATAACTCAGGAGAGTTCTATGTCTTGTTTTGTGTCCATCCTGCTAGCTTACTGCAGTAAGGGTGTCAGCCTGGAAAAAATGGGATTCTACTTACTTTTTCCTCAGTTCTTACACCGAGATTATGTAAGCTCACATGCTATTGTGCCAAATGACATGTAAATATGTTTTTCTTTATTAACATTCTGTAATAAAAGTAACTTTAAAATGCATTAGGAAAGAGCGCTGATATACTTGTTAGCATCTCTAGAGGGTTCTGTTTGTCACAGCTTCTCAGGAGAAGTTTGGTTGAGCTTCAAGGAAAGCTATCAGAGCAGAGCCAAAACTGGAACCTTTTAAAGAATGTTAGTTGTGAGCCTTTTACAACCATAAGAACAGTGAGCTATTGTTCTTGTTATGGTTTGAAGAATTCCTTGGGCTTTGCTAGGGTTAAAATACCAATCAAGTGTCTTACTTACAATAATGTGCTTATTTCTCCATGAACATGCTTATCAGTGCTAGAAAAAAATCTCAATTTCAACTTTTATTATTTCTGGACTTCGTAGTTATTGTCTTTCTGGGTTTTAGGCATAATGTATACGCATTTATTAATGTCTGAACTGAAAAAGTCTGTTTCTCCGAATTCAGCGCTAGAATTCAGCACTATTTCTAGAATGTCGGGGCATTTCTGCTTTCTCCCCTTTCGGTTTGGAAAGGATTATTTGGAAGCGCGCAGCTGCAGATCTCGCATGCCGTAGCTGAACTGGAAAGTTACCCATGGGTAACATTCACCTTGTGCTTTGCAGGCTGCAGGAGCTCATGTCAGATGATCAGCGAGAAGCAGGCCGAATCCCTCGCACAATTGAGTGTGAGCTGGTTCAAGATCTTGTGGACAGCTGCGTCCCAGGAGATATGGTCACAATTACAGGGATAGTAAAGGTGTCGAGCACTGAAGAAGGTAAAATACATCATCTGAGAACACCTATTCCCTAGGGTGGGGATTTTTCTAGTAATCACATGGGAACAACAGCCACGCCCCTTACTTTGAGCTGTTAAAGTTGTAAACACGTTAAGTGTATATTTCTTCAGACGTTCCCAGGTTTTTATAACAAGGAGTTATTCTGAAAAGCCAGAGCAGTGCTACCCGCGAGGAGCTGTTTCCAACATACACTGTTTGAGAGGGGGTTTCACCACGCACTGGTCTGTACACAGCTGTGGCCCTGAATCTGAAATGCCAGCCTGGCGTCTGTCAGGTGATAGCAAAGTGTTCTCTGGACCACTAATGTAGGAGGGACGTCCTTATTTCCTGAAGTCTCAGAGACTCGTTATTTGCTGAACCTTTTCCTATTAATACCTATCATTTGAATGAGACATGAATGGCAACCTGATGGGAAAACTATCTCTCTGTTGTGTGAGTATTACCTTTCTAAGTTTAGTCCTTCCTGGAGGAATTTCACAACTTCTATTTTTTTTATTCTTTTTTTCTTTTTTTTTTCCCCAAGTGAAGAAATATGTTGTACATAGCTATAATAGAATATATTGCAGCAAACTGCAGTACTGATTTACTGTGAGACCACATTGTCTCCTTAGTAATCATTTGGCTATAAGATAATGACTAATAATTAAAGCTACATGTTTAATTCTACTGCACTATGGATCATTTTCTCTAAATATTGAGTGGAAACACTTTATATTAAATTTCTATTTGACTAGAATAGTATTCCTGAATCCTAGACTAATTCCTGGAAATTTTTCATTTATTAAGGGAGAAAATTTTCTTTATCTCAGACCTTTAAAGGTTATCTATAGTCCAACCCCCCTGCAGTGAGCAAGGACATCTTTAACCAGATCAGGTTGTTCAGAGCCCCATCCAGCCTGACCTTGAATGCCTCCAGGGATAGGGCCACAACTACCTCTCTGGGCAACCTGTGCCGGTGTTTCAGCACCCTCATAATAAAGAACCTCTTACTAACGTCTAATCTAAATCTACCCTGCTCCAGTTTAAAACCATTTCCCTTCATCCTGTCACTGCACGCCCTTCTAAACAGCCCCTCCCCAGCTTTCCTGTAGCCCTCTTCAGGTACTGGAAGGCCTCTATAAGGTCCCCCTGGAGCCTTCTCTTCTCCAGGCTGAACAACCCCAACTCTCTCAGCCTGTCTTCAGAGGAGAGGTGCTCCAGCTCCAGCAGGTCCATGTTCCTCTTGTCTTGAGGGCTCCAGAGCTGGACGCAGTACTCTAGTGAGGTCTCAACATAGTTCTGCAACACAGAGGTGCAGAACTGCCTCCCTTGATCCACTGGCCACATTCCTTTTGATGCAGCCCAGGATGTTACTGGCATTCTGGGCTGTAAGCACGTTTTGGCTCATGTCCAGCTTTATGTCCACCACTAACCCCAAGTCCTTTTCCACAGGGCTGCTCTCTGTCACATCATCCCCCAGCCTGGATTGATAATGAGGAGTCACCTGACCCAGGGGCAGGACCTTGAACATAGCCTTGTTCAGCCTCTTGAGGCTCACATGGGCCCACTTCTGCAGCCTGACCAG